GGATGCCATGGCTAAAATCTAATATACAAATATTCAGCTGCGCTCTCAGCAAATCGCGCGACGGATTCCCCGGAATCCCACCTATCTAATGTTTATGGCGCGAATGGCGCTGCCAACGTGGCCGACCGTTGCACCTGGCAATAGAATTTTCCTCTCCGGCCCGTTTTTCATACGTTTGCGACTGAAGCCGGCAGGCCTGGACAGCACGTGCTGCATGGTAAAATCGATATAAAATTCATTCACTTCGCTCTCAGGCATCTCGCGCGACGCATTCCCGCGAATCCCAGCTATGCTAATGTCACTGGGCGAATGGCGCGTCCAACGTGCGTTCGACGTTGGAACTCGCAATCAGAATTCCTGCGGCCGTTTTATACCGTTTCGACTCGAAGCGGCAGTCGCTGACAGCACGGTGTGCCATGCGTAAATCTGATATAAAAATATTCACTTTCGCCTACTCAGCATTTTGCCACGACGACGGTTCCTCTCAACCGTGGTAAGCCCAGGAGCGCTATTTAGCTTATGCGTTGTTAGGCGTGGCGCATGAGGGGCCGTGGTCGCTGTAGGGCCGCATGTTCGTGGGGACCCATGCGCTGGTGTACTGTAGGGCGCATGTTATGTACGGTGTTATGTAGCGCATGATTTGTAGCGTGTATGTTAGCGCGCATGTTGGTGCGTGATGTGCAGGGCACGCTTCCCGTGAGACGGATGGTTGGTCCGTGTATGCTTAGGCCGCATGTTGTGCGTTCTATGTAAGGCGCATGGTTTGTGCGTGTAGTCGTAGGGCGCATGTTTTGCTGCGGTGTATAGTAAGCCGCATGTTTGTGCGCTCGTATGTAGGCGCATGTTTATGCGGTGTATATAGGGGGCGGCATGTTTGTTGGTCGTGTATGTAGGCGCCATGTGTTTGCTGCGTGTATGTAGGCGCAGTGTTTTGTGCGCGGCCTCGTGTGTATGTCAGGCGGGCATGTTTGTGCGTGTATGAGGCCGATGTTTGTGCCGTGTATGTAGGCGCATGTTTGTACGTGTATCGTGAGGCGCATGTTGGTGCGCTTTAGTGGCGGTGTATGTAGGCGCATGTTTGTGCGTGTATGTAGGGCCATGTTTTGTTGTACGTTATCGTAGGCGGCATGTTTGTGACGTGTAGGTAGCGCGCCATGTGTTATGCGTGGTATGTAAGCGCGCATGTTTGTGCGTGTATGTAGGCGCATGTTTGTACGTGTATGTAGGCGCATGTCTCGTGCGTGTATGTAGGCCGCATGTTCTCGTGCGCTTGTACATGCGTGTATGTAGGCGCATATTTGTGCGTGTATGTAGGCGCATGGTTTGCTGCGCGTATGCGTGCTTGGTTAGGCGCATGAATTGCTGACGGTGTACTTAGGCGCATGTTTGTGCGCGTTGCGGTGTTGTATATAGGCGCATGCTTTCTGTCGACTGTGTCTGACTGTAGGCGCATGTTTGTGCGCGTTATGCGTGGGTACTGTAGCCGCATCGTCTTGCTGGCGTGTAGTGTCCAGGCGCATGTTTGTGCGTGTATGTAGGCGCCATGTTGACGTCCGCTCGATGCGTGCGTGCGTGCGTTGCGTGCGCGCCAGTGTCTGCCGCCTGTTAGTCAGCTCGACCCAACAGCTAATCCCAGCGGCGAAGGCGCTGCGCTTTCGCAGCTCACGTCACCACACACACTACAGAGGCGACCGGCCACGCCAACTACATATAGACGCACACGCCGATGCAATTTGGCTATAAATGCTCTGAAATGAAATTACGGGCTTTTGTTCGCCGTCGCTCAACGTTCCTCGAGTTATGACGAGACGGAATTTCACGCTGGCGAACGAATTTTGATGCAGGTGGCAGTCCGGAGGATCGCAAGTTCGCGTAGGGCCGGCGTGTACAGTGTACACATTTACACGTCCCTCATTACATTTCTAGACATAACTGAATGCACTGTCATAGACAGTTGACCAATGTGGAAACAACCTTATGCAAAACATACTGAAACCTAGAGCAGCTTATACACAGTATGGATGCTCCTCAAATCGCTCTCTGCGATTGGCACTACAACGAGAGTCACTGCGTCGCAAGAGTTGCAGTATAGGATTGTCAACACCAACACGTAACCACTCTTGCGGATTAGGCGCTCCATGTAGTTTGCGCTTGCTGTGCGAAACATGTACCGCACACCAGTCATCGCGACTCGCCTTCAGCTCAATACTACGGGCAATACAAACACTTTTAATATAGTAAATATTCAATAACTATATATTTTATTCTATTATTATTATATTATATATATATATTATATATATATACTATACCACATACACGCACAAACATGCGCCTACATACACGCACAAACATGCGCCTACATACACGCACAAACATGCGCCTACATACACGCACAAACATGCGCCTACATACACGCACAAACATGCGCCTACATACACGCACAAACATGCGCCTACATACACGCACAAACATGCGCTTACCTACACACAAGCACGCGGACGCACGCACGCACGCAGGCATACAGAAACACAACAAAGCTCTTGCCATCAGTCTGTGTCGACCAGGTGAAGGATCGAGCGGCGGTTTAACGAAATTCATGCGTGTGCTGACAATGTTCTCCTGTAAGAAAATGGGCATATGTGAGGGAGATTGTAGACTTAGCAGGAGTGAGACTGATCTTGTGCACTTTTATTCTATAGACTACTGATTTTAGAGCACAATTCACAACGCGCGCGCGCGAGTCACAAGTCATTATTAAAAGTACAATAGCATTGCAGAGATGCCGAATTATTTCTGTAATCGGTGTTGTATAGGATGGAACCTGTACAGTTGAACAATAAATGTTGGTTTCATTGAATGCAATCTGTCATGTGTTTTGTTTGTGGTTGGTTGACAGGCGAGAGTGGAAGAGCGCACGCTGCTAATGGTGTTTCCATGCAACAATCACTACAGGGAATCAGAGAATCACCAGTTTCCATGTGTCATGAGGTTACTCGAGTATTTGGTGAGCTGTATAGAAATGCTATTGCATCCCATCATGGGTTAATAATGACAAATTTCATTATTATTATTATTATTGTATTGTAATTGTATATTGTAAATATATTATACTTGTTATTATTGATAATTTGTCATTATTAACCCCTGATCCCATACGTATTCTGTATCACCTAAAATGCCCAAGATCATCGATATCCAGTCCAGTGTACTAGCGCCACCTAGTGATCGCCAAATTAGTACCCATAAATTTCCCCGACTGCATGAACAGAACAGGCATTCATTCTTACTCTAAATACTTTTATTAAATATATACCCTGGTTTAATACAAGCTTGTAACACGTGCCATGCACCTGCAACTACTGCTAACAAATAATCTCACTGACCATATACAGGTTTAAACATGTATCTGTTGCATTACTGCAATGATGACTAGCTGATCTGCGATAAATCATGCCTTATCTGTCAGCCCCGTCCCCTAACTTCGGACACTTCGTTACTTCTACAACCTTTCATATGATGCACGGACTACTTACTACACGCCAATGAAAATGCATATGCTATCGACATCAAACACACGAATTAGAAATTTCTTCAAGATATACATAGGATGTTAATAAAAACAATTATCTTGTATTATGCAGCTACGATTAGTTTACGGTGGGTGACAAATCAGGTTGTCCTCTCCAATCATACAATATTAAAAAATATCGTTGATCCTTCATCTTTACATACCACACACACACTCACGCACGTATGCAGGGTAACTGGTCAGAACTAGGTTTATAATTGTGATAAGTTTGAGGTTATACAATGCTTTTCACAGTTTCACTTCCGTAATACGTGCCGAAATTCAGGAAAAGTTAATGACTATGCAATTCATAGTTTAAGTTCATATCGCTACTAACATTCAAATACGGTTTCCATGGTATCTCCCTATCGTTTTTTTCGCAGTATCAAGATGATGACTGCAAAAATATTATATGTCTCTTCTGAACAAAAAACCAGCCGTTTGGGAATACATACAATTGAGCAAAAGTTGTAGAATCCGTAAAGTAGAAACATGCTTTCATTACAATGTTAGAACAAAAGCAATCGTGCATAGGGAGATTAAATGGAGAACTTAACATTAACCCTATAAAACTAATGTAGCATCACCATTACCTGAAATGTGTCTTGAGCTTACAAATACACAACACACTTGCAGGTTCTTCCAAAATATTGGCATGATTAATATTAGATATGATTTTACATCTACCAGTATTACTGGCATTAACCATACCTACTACTGATACTAACTACTACTGACTACCATGCTCTCAGAAGTAGATAATAGGGAAGGAGTGACTTCAATAAACAAGGGAAATTCGTCATTTACTAGCCTTAGAATACCTACAATTTACTACGCGTAACTCAACCAACTTTAGCTCAAATCGTACATAGTACATTCGCCTAGCATCATGCGAAATCGTTTCCTCGTATACACCCGCAATCCGGAGATACAGACTAAAACGTACGACACGATTCTCCATTCTGTTGGCAGCAGATAAACTCCATAACCCGACTTACTTGAAACAATAGGCAGCTACTAATGACTCTTGTGCACTCTTGCGCCCTCGGCGATGCGGTGTGGCTCGCTGAGAGATTGGACATCGACGCAACACTCGGCGAGCCAATCTTTGACCTATTTACAGCTGCTTTGCCCCTTCCCCCCCCCCACGCACGCACGCCCACCGCAATCAGCAGCAGCTCCAGCTCCAATCTCCCAGCGAGCCACCCCGCATCACCGAGAGCGCAAGAGTCGTTAGTAGCTGCCTATTGTTTCAAGTTAGTCGGGTTATGGAGTTCTGCCAACAGCATAGAGAATCGTGTCGTACGATTTAGTCTGTATCTCCGTATTGCGGGTGTATACGAGGAAACGATTTCGCACGATGCTAGGCGAATGTACTGTGTACGATTTGAGCTCAAGTTGGTTGAGTTACGCATAGTAAATCGTAGGTATTCTAAGTCTAGTAAATGACGAATTTCCCTTGTTTATTGAAGTCACGCTCCTTCCCTATTATCTACTTCTGATGCTATCCAGTAGTGATAGGCCCAGTAGAGATGACAGTTAACACTGCAACCGATCTACGTACGCAAATATTTTATTTACCCAGTAAGTATGAAAGAACAGGGTAAACACTGGGAGGTTCACAGCTGATAGCGTATATCTGTCTCTACCCGTCTTATCCCGAGTAAGCGTCACATTCACTGTAGCAGGTTTCCACCGTTTGAAAGCGTGACAGATATAATGTTCATACTTTAGATATTTCCTCCCTCTTCTCATCCTTCTCTTCTGCAAATTCTTCACTTATGCAAAGACACCAAGCAGCCTGCTTGCCTGTAGTACATAGTGGCCTCATGTGAGTGCACTAACAATTACATTACACATGTAAATTCTACGCATTATATCTTGGGAACTTTGCGCAGTTCGTGTGTGAGCCAGACAGCACTAGAGAGAGTTGTGAGCGCTCCAATCTGATGCAAGGCACCACACCATGTCGGTACATACATGAGCAGGGCTGTGATGCCTAGGCCAACCTACAAAAATCAAGACCGATTTCAAATCATTAAATGGCGAGACATAACAAACAAAGCCACTTTACTCAGATATATCGAACAGCATTGAATAAATGAACCTAAATGCCTATAATGATAGACTTCACGACCGCAATACAAACTGTGATAATCCCAAAATCTACGGGTGTGACAAAATGGTGTGACGTATACATGAATTTTTTCTATAGTAATTTATTTCTGCTTATAATCCGTAACTCCACAGTATTAGTGCAACAAAATCCACTTCCAGAAGTATCATGTTCTCTTGTATTAAGTTGAGATGCCACAAAAATAAAGTTGCATCGTTGGCACGTGACATTTAATTTCTGTTTCATCTCTCGCTCCAAACCGCTATAGTGGCCATCCGTCGGATAAACACCACCATCAGTACCCATCCTTTTTGTCTACTAGTGCTAGTGTTCAGCTGTCACATACCTGTGTGCAGATGATGATGACCAAAGAGTTAAGTGCCATGCGAGTGCGAGGCGGCATGGGCATCTTGCGATTTGCATACCACATGTATGCTATCGTACAAAACGACACCTCGCCCTGAAATGCGAAAAGGTCAAATGTGAAAAATGTTAGGCTAGTATATAAAATTTTTGTATCTGACATTCGCACATTTATAGATAAAACATGATTAAAAGTCGGATTACTCGCTTAAACTCCGACTTTTTACAAAGATGACTGAATTTGTGCGAGGTCTGTAGTCGGATACAATTTATTTGTATAATTAAATTATTAAACGTTTTACATAATTGCCACGTAACAACGTCAACTATTACAAATACCAAAAAATGTGTACTCCAAACCCCCATCTATTGGATGAAAAACAAAATGCAGTATTGAGTTATTCACTTAATTCCCTACACCAGTCACTCACCAGCAGTCTGTGGAGAAACTGGACGGCAGTGGGGTTATCGAACCAGTTCTTCCACTTTGGTTCCAATGCCATGAGGTCAGTGGGGATCCAGCGATCAGCGAATTTTGGATACGAGTTGTACACCAGTCCCGCATCCAACCCGGCCACAAAGGCACCTGCAGCAGCAAAGGAGTGTCAAGCTGAGAGAACACCCTATTAATTAACCATCGACTGCACAATAAAGTTTTAGTAATTTATTAGCAGATGTAGCTAGCACAAATACGCCAATGCACAGGCAAATGACAATACAAAAGGAACATACAAGCCACAATCAGGCCGGGTCATACCAAAAACTTGAAAAATGGTACACACGGCTTCTCTGCTTAGCATTCAGCAAATAGAGATAGAGTGTGGCAAGTTAACTCGCAGTGCTACCAGTGGACTAACCCCCTACTGTAGCATTTACTGTGAAAGCAGCTGCGGGGCCTCCGGGTTATTGCGCCATTGCGCCATGTGGGAAGGATTTAACTTAACTAACAACTAAAACTGAGAACACAGGCACAGGTAAAGGCCGTTTCAATAACAAAAATAATGGTAAATTGTATTCACCACCAAAGAAAGATAGAGGTAGATATCTACTTCCTGTGAGTTTATGCAGAGTGGTGTGCGTGCGGTAAGACTGTGTTGTTATAGAGAGGCATTTGAGCACATTTACATGGAATTATTAGGTCACAGAGATTACATAAACTAGACTTTGGTAGTAAATACAGTGGTAATTTAATAACATTTTATTATTGAAATGGCCCAAGTGCCTGTATTCTAGTATAGTGCTACATGCATAAACAACTACAACTACACATATAACCTGACATTATAGAGATGTAGTTATTTTGCAGCACACTGGTGTTTATATATTCACAATATTTCAAATTTCTAAATATTTATTTTCCGAATTTGCAGTATGTAGGTGTCGTCTATCGAGTTTAGTTCGATGGCTGGTCTTGTTTGGCCTTGGGTAATAACCACAGCAACTGCATGCGATCTATAAAAACAACTACAGCATGCAAACATATGGCAAGATGGTGTGCATGCAGTTCATCTCCCACGCAGTTGACAGATACCTGAAATGGCCGTCAGAAAAACCAGACCCTTGGTACTGAATGCAAGCCGCTTGAACTTCTGCAGCTGCTTGGTCTGGACAATCTGTAAGGATGCACACAAAGCCTACCGTATACCCACGACACCAATCACAACAGATACAAGCATATTCAGCACTACACACTAGACAGTAGACAACTTAAGGAGTGACGTCTCCTCTAGCGGTCTTGCACTAGATGACATTCATGTTACTCGCAGAACAGCGACCACATCTCAAAGTAGGGCACGGAATTTCCTCCCTATTTATACGCCACACAGACTTATAGACATGGACCAGTTTGATGTGGTATCAAATTTGCAGTCTGACACAGACAGATAGGCCTGGACTAGTTTGATGTGGTATCAAATTTGCAGTCTGACACAGACAGATAGGCCTGGACTAGTTTGATGTGGTATCAAATTTGCAGTCTGACACAGACAGATAGGCCTGGACCAGTTTGATGTGGTATCAAATTTGCAGTCTGACACAGACAGATAGGCCTGGACTAGTTTGATGTGGTATCAAATTTGCAGTCTGTACGGAGTATTAGATCTTGCCTTTTTCCAATGAACGTCACCGCGTGCCACAGGGAACGCCACAGACAGGAGACAGGAACGCGGCCCCGCCAAAGACCAGCAGATGTTAACTGAAACATGTTCCAGTTCACTGGCAAATTATATTTGCCCGTAAACAACTGCTGAACTTTTTCGGAGCTGCGTTCTTTACACATTTACCTGACACGGCGGTCAGAAACACCAGTCCCTTCGAACTGTGTGCGAGCCAGCGAAGTCTACGAACGGCCGGCGTTTTCACAATCTGTAACACGTCACACCGGCCATAGTTACCTATCCAACTAACTACATGCCCGCCATTAGACTTTTACTCTTCACCTCGAAACGGGTGCTCCTCCTCTGGCCAATCTTTACCCACTGAAGAAAAGTCTGATGCATACCACCTGTTAGTGTAATCAGGTCACAGATGTCTAGTAGAGTATTGACTGATGCTGCTGCAACCTAGACGTTCCTAGCTAGACGTTCCTAGATGTACCGCTTGCAAGCTAGCACTATTATTATTATATAGCCTATAAATGGTTAACCACCACCTTATATTCCATGCAATAAAACCAAACATTCTGATTCTGCGTGCTCTAGCTTCACAGCACAGCTGGGGGCTGTGAGGCTGTACAACTACAAAGCTGTACAACTGTGGGGCTACACAACTAAGGCTGCACTACTGTGGGGACTACACAACTAAGGCTGCCACCCAGCTAAGGCGCAGCGATCTGGGATGTTTCACAACTGTAGCGGGCTGGCAGCCAGCTAAGGCTGGCACGAGCTGGGATTTGCACAGACTGTAAGGGGGCTGCACAGCTAAGGCTGCACTACTGTGGGGGCTGCACAGCTAAGGCTGCACTACTGTGGGGACTACACAACTAAGGCTGCACTACTGTGGGGACTACACAGCTAAGGCTGCACTAGTGTGGGGACTACACAACTAAGGATGCACAGCTAAGGCTACACTACTGTGGGGACTACACAACTAAGGCTGCACGACTGGAATTGCACAACTGTAGGGGCTGCACAGCTAAGGCTGCACTAATGTGGGCTGCACAGCTAAGGCTGCACCAATGTGGGCTGCACAGCTAAGGCTGCACTACTGTAGGGGCTGCACAACTAAGGCCTGCACTACTGTGGGGACTACACAGCTAAGGCTGCACTACTGTGGGGGCTGCACAGCTAAGCTGCACTACTGTAGGGGCTGCACAAAGGTAAGGCTGCATAAACTGTAAGACTGTGTAAACTGCAAGACTGCAAAGACTGCATAACTGTAAGACTGCATAATTGTAAGACTGCATAACTGTAAGATGCACAATGTTCTGAACACTGCATGAACTATAGATACGTAAATTATTTCTATGAATGGCTTACATCGTGGAAGTTGAGAAGGTGAGTGAGTCCCGACCACAACAGTCCAGTGTAGAAAAGGAATGCAAGCGTGAGATGTGTGGCCAGACGGTAGTGGCTGACACGAGGGATGGTAGTCGATTCTGGATCATCCTCAAGCCCACTCTTCACCATGTACCATCCATAAACACCCTGTGTAGTCACAATATCATAGCTGTCTTAGTTACCATGATGTATGCATATATAATACCAAAAGTTAAACTTTTGGTTATAATTTTATAGCATAATATTATTATTATAATATTAAGATTAGTGGTCATAATAAGCTGAGGAACGTATACACTTGCTTCTTTATTGGTGGCAAAATTTGATGAGAAAATGTGTATTTTCTTGGCTAACTCTTGGGGTATTATCTTACTCTTGATAATACTTATCAAACAGCCTGAAAAATATCAAATGGTTTTCCTTGATCAATACAAGTGAATCTAACTAGAAATTTATCACATCATGAGGAAACACATAGTTTCTATAAATTTCAACTCGATCTACCATACCTGAATCAGCAGTAGGCCTCCGAGAATGAGAACTCTTGGTTTTGTCTGTTTTGTGAACCAACCTTTGTACCAAAAGTAACTTGCTGGCAGGGCATACACCAAACCTGTTATAACACATTCATAGGTTGAATCCCATAATACACTGCAGGGGAAAATACACCAACCTTTACTTAGTCTACTATAGCCTTCTAAATGCTACATGCACCTTACTATATGTATGTAATATACACACTGCTGGCATGACCATGGACAACACTGTCATGTACATTACTTATGAAATGTAGTGTAGCATGTGTGGCGTGCGTTAGTCAGCATTTCTTATAAATAACAAATATTGCAGAAACTTTTATGGATGAGATTTATGCTGATAAAGACAACAGTTTTCATATCACACAAAAACAGCAGCACTTACGTTGGGTGATACTCCATTAGAAGTGTCCCCAACTTTAATGTCATTAATGGTCATAGTAACAGATATATATAT